CGGGTGCTCGCGCTTCCCTGCCACTTCACCCTGTACCTTGCTCCCTCTTGCATTCCCTGCAGCCATGAAGCAAACAAAAGGTACGTACTGGGGCAGCAGGGCTTCATCCTGCGGAGACACTTCCTCACGCACACGTCTCCAGGGCCTGTTTCCACATGGAGCAAGGCAATGTCAGAGCCCAGGCAGGCCATGGAAAGGAGCACGAGGCATCCAGAAAGTGCAGATGGACATTGTGGGGGTGCTTGGCTGGAATACCCTCTCCCTGGGTTTAGGGATCCTTGTGCTAGAGGAGGTGGGGAGGGGTTCTATGGGGAGATGCACAGGGGGAAGGTCTCTGTCTCCATCTCCTGACTTCAGCCAGTGCTCTGGGGCCCTAGTGACCCTTCTCATCCCTCACTCAAAGTCCCTGTAAGCCCTCAGGACTAACCTCCATCTGCACACCACTGCCTGGTCCTACTTTGCCCCTGGTGCTGGGCACCAAGTGCCCATTGGAGCCAAGCAGCAGATGTCCTACTGCTTTGAAATGCAAGAGGACACTGCTGGCAGAGACAAGGGCCAAGCTATGCCCAGGCACAGGCTGTAGCCAGGAGGAAGAGGGGTTTGGGGGGTTGCATGGCCTCAAAAAACCCACCTCACTCAGTGTGGCATGCTCAGCTTGTGAATGGATGAGCCCAGAGTGCTCAAGAGCATGGGGACGGCTCCCAGCCCGCTGCCTCCTGCACTGACCTCTCTTCTCCCTCTGCAGGGCTCGAGGGTGACAAGAAGTCCATCATGTAAGTGCTGAGCTCCCCCTGGCCATGACCTTCCTGGGGCTCATGGTCCTACACCCAGGCTGTGCTGGGGCACATCCTCAGCTGAGGGTCTTCCCTGAGTTGTTAGCTCAGGAGGGATGTGGAGGACAGTCCAAGAGGGAGATCCCCTCCTGGCTTTTCCCAGGAGGAGGAGCTGTGTCCCCAGCTGGCTCTTTCTGGGAGGAATGGGGCTCTCCACAGCAGGGCTGGAGAGGGAAAGGGGAAGGCCGTGCTGCTGAACTAATGTGGCCTCTCCTGACCTTTATCATTTCAGAAAATTTGAATTTAACCCCAAAGATGGGATAGACAACCCTGCCTTGTCACTGACTGAGGACATGGGTAAATACCGTTATCTCCCCATGGTGTGCCTGTGTCAGCATGGGGTTCTTTACAGCAGCAGGGCATTGCTGGGGTCCTGAGCTCTCACGTGCCAGGGAGATGTGGGGAT